TGTAAACAACTTGCAGTTTGATACTTTTTGTCTGGCCCTGGGCTGCAGCCTGCCCTGTGATTGGTATGCACCCTGCAAGGACTGGTCAGCAGACTATGCAAATGAAGTGTTTGTAGCCTACTATGCAAATGAAGTATCTGTGGCCTAGGTCAGTTCATGGTCCTGGTGGGAGGAACATGCCTTGAAATTGACAAAGAGTTTGTCTATATATGCAGCCAACACCATAGAAGTTTTTGAGACAGGAAAAGCAGCCGAAGGAAGAAAGAAAAGAGAAGAAACAGATAGAGGGGAGGTAAGGAAACTCCCAAATGAGCTGTAACACGAGTCAAGGGCTGTAACACCGACAACAGTGAGAGGCCTAGAAGGGGCTCAGTGGCAGAGGCGGCAGGGCCAAGAAGAGCCTGTCCTGAGAGGAGGGCTGCAAGGCCAAGAGGAAATGAGAGAGCTGTCCTGTACTGAAGAAGGGACACTTTGCCTACATGTTTCCTGATCCCAAGTTGTACCCTGTTCCTCAACAAACCATTTAACTATAAGTATGGTTTGTGAGTTCTGTGTGGCCTTTACAACAGATTATCAAATCCAGAAGAGAAATAGAGAGTCTTGTAGAACGGACAGCTGGTGTCAGAAATGGTAAAAAGTTTGGAGGGTGGAGGTATGTCTGACCTCTACCTTGTGGGAATCAGCTTTAGGCCGACCCTGGTCATTATACTCCCTGAAGTTAGACAGATTCTGATGCTACTACTACTCCCACCATTTTACAGATGCAAAAATCATACATAAAACATCAGCCACTGAACCTAGCAATATACCGTACTTTTACGCAAGCAATTTGTGCTTTCTACGTTTGTTTGCCAACTGCTCCCCGCTGCCATGAGGTATTTTCATAAGCATGAGATTTTTTTTTATAGCAATATGTAAGAAAAATTGGCATAGCAGTGCTTCTGAAAGTATCTTGTGAGGAGTGGGAGCAGCTGTCAAAGGTAGATGGTGTGTGTTATTTGCGTAAAAATACAGTATTAAAAAAGAGGGTACATCAGGACCACAATAAGTTTAATTGGTTAATGACAGAAAACAGTGTAATTCTCTGCTTTAACATACTGAAGGGGAAAAAAACTACCTCGATAAATGCATTTATTAAAATTCAACACTGATTCACAATAAAAACTTGTAGCCAAACAAGGAATAGAGAAAAATTTCTCCAATCTGATGAGGCGTATGAACAACAACAACAAACCTACAGCAAAGCTCTTCCTCAATGGTGGCACTCTGAAAGGTTTATCAGACATTTGGAACGGGACGAGGGTATCTGTGACGATCACCACCACTATTTGGTATTGTAAGTAAGGCCTCACCAATGCAGCAAGGAAAGGGGGAGAAAATGGGAAAAATCCAAAACTGTCATTATTTGCTGACAATATGACTGTATACATAGTGGACCAATAAGCAACATCATAATAAATGGAGAAAAGATTAAAGTTGCCAAGGATTTCATTTTACTCGGATCCACCATCAACGCCATGGAAGCAGCAGTCAAGAAATCAAAAGACTCACTGCACTGGGCAAATCTGCTGCAAAAGATCTCTCTGAAGTGTTAAAAAGCAAAGATGTCATTTAAGGACTAAGGTGCGCCTGATCCAAGCCACGGTGTTTTCAATCGTCTCATATGCGTACAAAAGCTAGACAATGACTAAGGAAAACTGAAGAAGAATTGACACCTTTGAGTTGTGGCATTAGCGAAGAAGAATACCGAATACACCACGGACTGCCAGAAGGACGAACAAATCTGTCTTGGAAGAAGTAGAGCCAAAATGCTCCTTAGAAGCAAGAATGGAGAGACTTTGTCTTACATACTTTGGACGTGTTATCAAGAGGGACTAGTGCCTAGAGAAGGGCATCGTGCTTGGGAAAGTAGAAGGTCAGTGAAAAAGAGGAAGGCCCTCAACAAGACGGACTGACAAAACGGCTGCAACAATGGGCTCAATCATAACGACTGTGAGGACGGCGCAGGTCCGGGCAGTGTTTTGCTCCGTTGTACACAGGGTCGCTGTGAGTCAGAATCGACTCGAGGGCACCCAACAACAACAACACATAGAAATTCAAAGACTTGCAGATTAGGAATTCTTAGGTTAAAAAAAAAATCAATAGATAAAATCGACTACACTTCCTTTATATCAGTAAATAATGTGGAAAAAAATGAAAACGAAAATTTAAAATACCATTTTTAATAGCATTTTAAAATATCATGTACAGGCAGTCCCTGACTTAGGACACGGTTACGTTGACAATTAAGTCGGTTCTGATGTAAGTTGAATATTTTTTTTTTTGAAGTTTTCATTATCATTATCTTTATAAACCTCATCTTTGAACACCTGTGAGTGAACATCTGAGAACGATAACATTTGAGAATGATGACATCAGCAATTTACATGCTGAGACATCATACACACTACATAATGCTAACAATAAGATGTACAAAAAAAAAAAAAGATGGTCGTAAGTGTGTGTTGTAACTAGAATACATCTTAAGTCGGGGACTACCTGTACTTAGGAATAAATCTGGTAAAAGATTTGCAAAACCTCTACAGGCAAAATCATTAAAACTTTTCTGAGAGGCATGAAAGAACCCCATCTCAAGCCATACACAAAAGTTGATTCACGTGGATTACAAACCTAAACGTGAAAGGCAACACAATAAACCGTTTTACAGAACAGGAATGTATTTTTATGGTATGAGGTAAGGAATGATCTCTTCGACAAACTGATAACTTCAACTACATTAAAATTAAGGACTTCCGTATGTCAACAGACACCAGGAAAAGAATGCAGTGACAAACCTTGGAGAAGACACAAAACAGAACTAATGGCAGGTTCCCATCTGTAACTTCCAAAGAACTCCTACAAATCAGGGGAAAAAAGGGCAGATGTCCGAATGGAACAATGAGTGGAAAAAAGATTTCAACAGGCCCTTCACAAATGAGAACAAACCACCAAGAAACATGAAAAGGTGTTCAATCTCATTCGTAATCAGGAAAACACATATTCAAACCACAGTGGGATACTACCGGGCAACCCAACAGATTGGCCACAATTAAAAAGTGTGCTTCCTCTGGCCATCTACCAACCCCCAGGACAGCACTCCCAGCTCCAACATTCGTCTCCCCCATCTCCCAAGGATTCTCCGGACTGCAGACCCCACAAGGGTTAACTAGGCAGCCCCAAGTGAAGTGTGTGGGGGGAGGGGGAGGGGCTGTCAGAGCATGGAGCCCAAGCCCAGAGGAGGAGGAAGGAGGCAGGAAAGCGCCAGAAAGCAGCCTGTGCAGTGAGAGTAGTCTCAGCGGCCTGGAAGAAGACATCATGACATCAGTTTGTCACCCAAAAGACGTCAGTCACTGTTCTCAGCAGTGTGCCACAATTCCAGTTCGCTCCCCAGGGCCTGGCAGAGAGATCAGCCACACCACAGGTGGTCACTGAGTATCTGAGAAAATAAGGACTTGCCACTACTTTCAAGAGTTAATCAGCAATTAGGCTGTAGGCTCCAGCCAAGGTACCAAATTAAGCTATCTTTCCAGAACACCAGGGAGCCCTAGAGATTTTGCAGCAAAGCTGTATGCGTAAATGTATCTGAGAAAACACATACGTCAGGCCCCAGCAGACCACTTACAGCTAAACCCAAGCTCATCCTCGTGTATCCCAGAAAGTTCTAACCAATCTGCAGGGAAACTACTGGCTCCTGCTGAGGAGCTAATGGCCCCTTGGCCTTCAGCACAAATCTCAGCAGACGCTGGGGCAGCCTGACTGCTTAGCAAGGGCAGCCGCCCTCCCTGTGGGATCTGGACAGGACAGCCAACTGGTTTTAGCTAATGTCCCCTTTGGCCTCAGGCTACGATTTCAGCAGACACTGGGGCAGCCTGACTGCTCAGCAAGGGCAGCTGCCTTCCCTTTGGGATCTGGATAGGACAGCCCAGTGGTTTTCAACCAGAGACCAGACTCTAAACCTGTCAAGCCTGTCTGCCCTCCCCTTTTCTTCTGCTGCTGCATCTTGCGCTTCTCGGTGAAGCCCTATTCTGAGGTTCTAAGCGCAATCAGAAAGCAACAGCCTACAGGTCACCCCAAGCCCTGTGACCAGTGAGGCTCAAGCAGTCCCCACCCCACCCCCTGGTACCGCACGCCCCTCAGCAGGGCCTGCCTGTACTTCCACAACACTGAAACGTGTCACCAGCTCCCCGCTCCACAATCCCAGAAGATTAGGTCAGGAATAGCTAAAGTGGCATCCTCTAGAGAGGCCATCCCGCCTCCCAGACCCCACACTCAGGCGTGTGGCCCCTGCTCCGTGGCACAGGTCTGCTGAATGGCCTCTGACCACCCAGAGTCTCCTTCCTTGCAGGCGCACGTGGGGCCTGGGCCACCCTATCAATCTGTAATTCATCTCAGCGGAGGGGACAAAGCAGCCGGCCCAGGCCCTGCTCTCCCTGGAGCCACAACATGCTCAGGCATCAGGTGGCAATGCAGGGCACCTGTGTCCCCCGGGACCACATTCACTGGCAGCTGCTCTTGGGACTCCAGGCATTTCTAAGTGCAGTGCTGAGCAAATGTCCCGTCCCTGCAGCTGGGAGGGACCCACCCTAGCCAGGCACTCAAATAGAGGGTCTCATTTAATCCTCACAATTACCTACAGATGGCTTTACTCCCGCTTTAGGGAGGTCACACGGCTGACGTAAACTGCAGAATCAGGCAGAGGGGAGGTGTGGGGCCTGTAATCTTGGCACTCTCCCCAAAACTGTCTTTGTGCCCAGCTGTGGAAAGACCAGGGTCACAAGGATCTACTGTCCATATGCAACACAGCTACAGCAAACGATTCTTCTGAAACACTTCCCATTTGGGGCTCAGTCGTCGAATGACTAAGTGTTTCTTTGGGACAAGCTGGAGCCAAGGCCTCAGACACTGGCGCTGGCCAGCGGCCCCAAGCCAGGAATAGCCCCTTCTCACCATCGTACACTTACCACCACCGAGTCATTGTGAGTCAGGTCGACGACCACAGGCTCTAAGGATTCACAGGTGAGGTCCACTATCTCGTCTCCAGCTTCAAATGAAAGCATTTAAAAAGCATTAGGAGGAAGGTAGAGCCTTAGCAACATGACTGCAAAGCAGTGCAGGACGCCAAACTTGGGTGAACCGTGACAACATGCTGAGCCAGTCAGTCAGTCCAAGAGGACAAACATGGTATGATCTCACTTACGTGAACTAAGCAAATACATACAAACCAAAGATTATCAGAAGTTACCGGCGTGGGAGGGAGGCGGAAAGGGGGAGTTTTTGTTTGGGGGCATTGAATTTATGCTCATGGTGGTGGAATGTTTGGGATGAGAAGAGTTATAATGTACTCAGCGTGAGAAATGTCATCAACGTCACTGAGTTGTAAACGTGGAGGTTGTGTTGGTGGGTGTTTTGGTGTGCATGTTTTCCCCATAATATAAGAGAGAAAACAGAACAAAAGCAGTGCAGGTTTACACAAACTGAAAGAACCAAAGCGTCGAGTGCAAAGAACATCAGGACCAGCCCCGTTCTCAGGGGCGACAGCCAGCACACACCTTTCCTGTGAGCAGGTGGATAGTGTTCCCAAGTGCACCATCAGGACGGTGTGTGTGTGCATACCTCTTGCCCTGGGTGACAGTCCCACATGGCTACGCCTGTACCCTACGTGCTCCTTCACATGCAGAGGCAGTGACTAACCTGACTGCGGTGGGTGGGAAAAGGCACAGGGCACCCTGGCCCAGGGCCTTCCTTTTTGGGAGCAGCTGGCCTGTAACAACCTCTGCCCCGCTCAGCCGAGGAAGCCACCACCAGCTGGCTGGTCCAGGCTGTTCACGCTGCCTGTGTGCTGAGTGTGGCAGCCACGTGGTCCCCAGGCCTAGCCATGCTCAGCTCAGCAACCCCATCAGTTCTAAAGCAGGCATTTTATCTCCCTTTCTCTCTCACGTGCTCCCCAGCTTGGATGGAGAACGGGGGTGTTTCGACACACCTGCAGCCTGCCCTCCTGAGCCCTAGGTCCACTACGCATGCCCACGTGAGCACAGGCTAAAGCCAGGAACTGCTAACAGCAGTACACCAGCGGGGGAGTGAGCGGTGGAGTACAGTTTTCATCTATGTAGATAACTGGGAAAAAAAAGCTTACAACCATTTTTGTTTCCATGAGAGTAGAATTTTTGGGAATAGCGTATATTTCATTATCTGTTTGGGAAGCACTGGTGGTACAGTCGTTAAGCACTTGGCTGCTAACCCAAAGTTCAGCAGTTCAAAGCCATCAGCCACTCAGAGGGAGAAAGATGTGGCAGTCTGCTTGTGTGAAGATGTACAGCCTGGGAGCACTATGGGGCACTACGGCCCTGTCCTACAGGGTCACTTAAGTTGGACCCGACTTGACGGCAATGGGTAATATCTGCAGAAAGCGACTTGCAGTGCATTTACTAGATTCTAGCTTGTTTTACCTACTGTATTAAGAAGTCTGACAGAAATAAATTCATAATATAGCACAGCTAGTCGATGTAATTGATACAGAACCATCTCATTCTTTCAATGGCTGCCTGGAGTCTCCTACACCAGACCCGCCTTAAGGGCAGAATTCAGACACCAGGGCATCAGCTTTAGGGATGCAGGGAAGGGAGGCCAGGATCCTAGCCTCTAGGCCAAGAAGTGAAGAGGTACTCACAGTCAAGGCCTTTTAGGAATTCCCTGTTAAACGTGAAACTCAGTGACCAGAGACAGCACAGAGAACTCATAACTCTGGGTGTGGGCCTGAAGCGCATCTCAGACCACATGGTTTCTCTTTAAACACCAGTTTTCAGACATCACGGTTACAAACACAACCTCACTGCAGAGCAAAGGGATTGGTGCAGGCCTCTGCTGCCCCCTATACAGAGGCACAGCCAGCCTCAGCCTCCACCACGCCCACCCCTCACAGGCGGCTCTGCCGCAAGCCTGCCTCCCTGGGCAACCTTCTGTCTTAATGACAAACCTAGGAGGAAAGCCGAGCACTTCACCAAGCAAAGCAACTTCTGGTGGATCAGGAGGGTCCAGGGGCAGCCCCCACTCCCCTGCTGCAGCTTCCCAGTGGGCTGAATGGTTACTCCAGCTGACTGATGGTCTCAAAACCTGAGGGGGTCTTAGGGTACCACAAAAGGGACAGAATACAGCTTTTCCCCAAGTCAGCTTCAGGTCGTGAGCGAAACCTGTCTCAGACAAGGCAGCGGAGGTTCGGAGAGGTCAGAGAACCTGAAGTGGGCCCCAGAGCTGGTCAACGGCAGTGTGGGACACCCACGGGGTCTGCGCCCACCCACCACACCACCTCTCCCCATGCCCACGGTACTGAAAGTGAGCTTACCGCTTTCCACAAGTTCTATGGGTTCTGCTTCCACGGCCATCTCGGGTGTGGAGGATGCTTCCCGAGCTCGCTTCTGGGTTTGTCTAGAACTTACAGTTCCGCCACGACGCTTTCTCTGAGGGTATTGAGGAGAAAAGAATAAAACATCCACATGAGCTCCTGACTGTTTATGATTTCAGCAAGAAGTCTAAGTAGAAGAAAAGCTCAACAATGAGGACTGTTTCGACTTACGAAATGCCATAGGAGGCCAGGGAGCAGACCTGAGGTTGGGGTCCTTTCAAAACTTGAGATTCTAGAACACTGACTGTTTACAAAGGAAGAAACCACCCAAAATACAGTGAACACAAATTCCGTAAAATAAAATTATCATTGTATCACATTATCAGTATGTCAGATGTATGACACATCCTCTTGGTCCAGGTCAGGATTTGGCCTTGGCAGTGGATGTTCTTCCTTTAACCAAATGTTACAGGCCCCTTTCTTCCTTGAACATGTGTTCTGTCTTATTAAGCCTTTTTTGTTTTTTAGCCCAAATAACTTCAGTTTCAGAACTGACAGCATCAGTTAAGGAAAGCTAGTGGGAATGTGGCTTCTAACCATTTAGGGCATTATCAAGTGTGATTCACACTCTTAGAATCAAAGTCTCTCTCACTGGCTCTGAGACCCACAGCTGGCTGGGACCCAGTGGTCTGCAGGTGCCTACATTCTGAACCAGTCTTTCTCCCACATCCTTGGGTTGCTGGCTTGCCAATACGGTCCAGCATCTCTGGCCTAAACCTGTTGCCGTCGAGTTGATTCCGACTCATTAGCAACCCTACAGGGCAGAGTAGAACTGCCTCATAGAGTTTCCAAGTGCTGGCCCCAAAGACAAACCGGGAATGTGCTTCCCTGAAGCCGTCCTCAAAGAAGACAAGCCTGCCACATTGTTATTCCCACCCTGCCCTGCTGCCCCTCACGAAGCCCCAACACCTACCTACTGGGTGACCTGGGACAGATACTGAGCTTCTTAAGCCTCAATTGCCTCGCCAGCCCCTGCCTTGCAGAACTGTGACAGGGTTAAATGAGATAATGTGATAAAGCACCAAGCGTAGATGGAAGATCCTACTATTACTCTAATTCCTTATTTGCCTTGTTGTTAGTTGCCGATTCCAACACATGGGGAGCCCACATGTGCGGAGCAGAACTGCTCCACAGAGTTTTCAAGGCTGTGACCTTTCAGAGGCAGACGCCAGGCCTGCCTTCCGAGGAGCCTCTGGGTGGGTTCAAACTGCCAACCTTTTGGCTAGTCATTGAGCGTGTAATCTTCATGCCACCCAGGGACTCTTTACTCGCCTTTCCAGGGCCAGCTTCCCATCGTGGCTTGACTGCCGCTTTGTCCTGGCAGCTGTGCCAGGACGGGATGATGACAGGCAGCACAGGACCCAAGAGCAGCCGCTCAACCCAACCCTCGCCAGGCAACGAAGAGAGGCCTAATTCGTTCTATGATTCAGATTGCTACCCTGTCAGCTTGAGGAATTTGGGAAACGGAGTGGGGCTTAGCAGCGCCCCCCTGGATCCAAGGAGCACGTGCACCCCCAGGCAGGGCCAGAGGCAAGTGCTGGCAGTAGTTCCCAACTCCCGAGAGAGCCTCTGGACTCAGCTGAGTTCTGCTGCCAGTGTTTTGTGGGTTCCTCAGCAGACAGACTGCTTAGCGTCCTTTACTTTTATCCGAGTCTCGTGTCCTCCTTCCTGTGCAGCAGACACATTTTCCTTACTGGCCACTGCTGAAACAGAACCCTTCAGGCCCCCACCCCAGGTACCTGTGCTGTTTCCGGTCCCCACTGAGGGAGCCCAGTGAGCAGTCACGGGTCACCTGGACACACCCACACCCGCCTCAGCACTCGTCACCCCAGTCCCACGGCTGCTCTTCTGGCACCGCCACGTCTTTAATCTGGGTTCTCCTCAGCCTCTCTTCCTTTTCTTCATTTGGTCAACTTGTACACAGCTTTCAAGAACCTCCTCAAATATCACCTCCTCTGTGGAGACACTGCCCGGACTACCCATCTCTGGATCTTCTTTTCCAAGAGTCTTCCTGTCCTGCTACTCCCCTCCTCTGCCTCTCCTCAGAGGGTGGACCGTGGGAACTCACTGAGGTAGCAGGCAGGAGGGACGTGATACCGCAGGGCCAGGCTCAGTTCATCCTGGAATATTTGTTTAGACCTCCCATCTGTCCTCTTGTATTCTTTCAGCGTTCCTCCTTTTTAACTAGCAGAACCCTCAGAGGCCCCCAACTTGGAGCTAAAACTGGCCATCTGGTCACTACCCAGTTATTGACCTCATTCTTCCCTGGCTTTGCCTGTCCTGGTACCTCCTGTGTAGGCCTGGGGGCTTCATGGGTAAGGTGCCAAGGCTCAGAGTACCACTTCCCTACAGCCAGCTCAGTGGCAATCTGCAACTAAGGAGCAAAGAGGAAGGTGGCTATTTAAATCACATCCAGGAAGGTGGATCCAGTTAAGCAGAGGCCCTTTGCTTTTGTTCTCTGAGCAGGATGGGTATAGATATCAGCAGTGAGCCTAGAGCACAGTGAGGACCAGGGGTGGTCAGGAAAAGGAAGAAGAGGGAGAGGCCTCACAGGGGTCAAGTGGTCAGCGAGCAGGTCACAGGAGCCTGAGAGCTGCTCGTTTAACTTCATCTCCCCCACCTTCCCTGCATCATCCGCAGCAACTCTGGAGTGCAGAAACAGAATACAAGGCTCTTTAACATCTGGTCCACTGGAGAGGCGTTCACTGCCTTGGAAGCAGCTGTTTTGGGCTATAGATGCTTAGGAACATCTGGCAGGGGCAACCTTGGCGAGTGGGCTCTGACTGTTGGCCGGGAGTAAACAGGGGCAGGGGGTCTTCAGGCAATCTTCTCTAGAGCCTCGGGACTCCAGGTGACATCTGGGTTACCCCACACCAGAACTGCTTATGAGGTCTGATGAAACCTCCAACTAACAGTTACAGTGATCACTGAGGGTTATTACCAATATGCTCACAGTGGGCCAACGGGAAATAAAATAGAAGGGGAAACTGTACTGGTTCTGAATGATTCAATAAAGGAACCCTATTACTTCTAAGACATTGGCAGCTGCACTGAAGGTAGGACACATCCAAACCCAGCCCTGCAATGAGACTTCTGTCTGCCAGGGTCACAAGACCATCCTAGACACTCTGGAAGTCAGCTGCAGACAAACAAGTTGGTGTAGCTTTGCCGGTGTCCCCGGTGCACACTCTTTCAAGAATTAGGTTACTTAGAAGCATCTTTATGGAACTCCCATTAATGTGCCACACGGAATAAGGCAGTTGCTCAGCCCTGAAAATGAAATACAGTTCAGAAGCTGATGAAACTCACTGTACTCATGGTGCTCCCGGCTCCACCTACAGAAACGGAGTGATCTCTCCCAGCGTGGCAGGGATGTGAACCTTCTCAACCTCTCACACCTGCTGGTTAGTCATTCCCAGCTTGCATAAGAATTTGGAGCCAGATAAATTTCCAGTTATCTTCAGATCCTGAAAAAGAAAGAGATCGAGTTGATAAATGCTGCCACTTGCATCAGCAACGACAAAGTTCAGTTCACTAAGCTAGGTGCCTTGCTGAACACTTTGACTTTACTCTGTTTAATCCCGCAGTAATCGTATGAAGTGGTATTCTTGTCAGAGCCAGGACCACCCGATACCAAAGCTCGCGATCATAGGCACTACACTATCTCCTGCCCTCCTGGCGAAGTATGACGTCCAAACCCCAACAAAGTATTCGGCTAGCTGCTGCAAGAACGACAGCTGCCACAATGAAGCTTCTTTTTCACCCATGACCTCATCGACTCCTCAGAGCAGCTGGGAAGGAACAGAAATTACTGTTTTACCGTACACATGGAGAAACCGAGGCCAGAGCAGAACCCAGAGCCTGTCTCTTTCGACAACCTCACCGTCCCCATCTGGAGAAGCTGATAATTTAGTTGAAGAGAACATGCAACCCATCCTAATTCACCTGGGTGCCCAGCTGAGACTTCCGTCACTAGCAAAGGGTGAACTGGGAGGAGCCAGGAGATTGGGGTGGGGGGGAGTAAGGAGGGGACCCTCCAGGAATGGTAGATGAAGCGTCAGTGATTCTGTGGGAGCGGCTGAGGCTGCTGGAGAGTGCTGCTGACCACGGTTAAGTACCCCCCGTCAGAAACCCAGGGGGTGAGGGTGTGAATGAGAAGCAAAAACATGGAGCCTGGAGGCAGGAGGCAGGGTGTAATCACGTGAACGTGCCCTGAGCGTGCAGCAGGGCTGAGGGACCGAGGGAGCAAGCTACGCAAGGACGAAGCTCTGGGGTCACCCAGTGTAGACAAGAGAGCTGTGAAGGCCTAGTGCAGTTTCACTGGGAGAAGTCAGAAGTTTTCCAGGAAAGGCCCAGCTGAGCTACTCTCTGCGGCCTGGCCCCGTGAGGAAGCGCGCTGTGCACATGCCCGGTCTCTTGGTGCTGCATCATCCACCCTGCCTCAGAAGGATTAGGGGAAAAGGCCTCAGCTCTGTCACTCTCTGAGGGGAGACTATGTACCCAGTGTGCAGCATGACATCTGATGGCACACACCAGAGACCCAACGGTGCTCTCACAAGAATAACACGATGACTTCTCAAAGTGACATCTCACCCATCAACCATCACACTCGGACACTCAGCGGGGGTAGGGGCCCTGGCCAGGAGCAGACTGTCCTCCTGGCTTGAAGCGGGAGGTACCCTGGCATCCCCACAGGGCTCACAAGTCCATTTAGATCACCCGATAATCCCAGATCTACCTTTCCGGGGTTCTGATGCGCACATTTATGTTTCTGATCCCAAGAGGTGTCGTCTTTTGGCGTGCACCTATGATACAGTTTCTTTTAGTGGGTAGAACTGAGAAAAATCTGATTAAAAAGGAGGGTGGACTAATGGACCACAGCTCCCAAGGCCTCCACCAGACTGAGTCCAGTACAGCTAGATGGTGCCTGGCTACCACCACTGACTACTCTGACTGGGATCACAATAGAGGTTCTGGACAGAGCTGGAGAAGGATGTAGAACAAAATTCTAACACACACAAAAAAGACCAGATTTACTGGCCTGAAAGAGACTGGAGAAACCCTGAGAGAATGGCCCCCAGACACCCTTTTAGCTCAGAGGTGAAGTCACTTCCGAGGTTCACCGTTCAGCCAGGAAATGGACAGCCCCACAAAACAAAACGGGACAAGCAGTCCAGGGACAAGGACTAGAAAGCAAAAAGGGACAGGAAAGCTGGTGATAGGGAACCCAAGGTTGAGTAAGGACAATGCTGACATGTAGTGGGGTTGTAAACCACTGTCACAGGGCAACATGTGTACTGTTTAATGAGAAACTATTCTATTCTGTAAACCTTCATCTGAAGTGAGAATAGCAACACAACTGAAAGAATGTAATCGATGTCACTGAATTGTACATGTAAGAATTTTTGAAATGGTGTATCTTTGGCTATGTATATTTTCACACACACACGCACACACACACAAAAAAAGATCGAGAAGGGGGTGTGTTGACATGTCCTGGGGCTGTTAACCAATGTTATAAAACAATATGTGTACTGACTGTTTAATGAGAAACTATTTGTTCTGTAAACCTTCACCTGAAGTACAACTAAAAAAAAAAAAGGAGGGTGTATGAATAACTTCAAATTTAAGAATCAGCACAAAGCCAACTCCTGTGAGGCGGAGGTCAAGTGCATCCCAGATTTCCACATTCTCCAAGCTGCTGTACCACTCCACCTCTGACACCGACCGCTCTCCCTCCCATCAGCACTCTTCCCTCCCCCCTCCTTTGAGTTCAGCAATTCGCTGCAACATCTCACAGAACTCACAAACTGTATTTACAGTTAAGAGATTTATTAAGGAACAGGGTACAACTCAGGATCAGGAAGCATGCAGGCAAAGCCTCCCTTCTTCAGGGCAGGACAGCTCTCTCAGCTCCTCTGGGTTGTGCAGGCCTCCTCTCGGCCCCCTCAGGACAGGCTCCTCTTGTCCCTGCTATCTGTCTGTTGCGGCTGACTCTGCCGTTGGGCTCCTTCTGGGCTTCTCGCTGTCTTCAGTGTTAACAACCCATGGCCCGTGCTACAGCTTTTTTAGGAGTTTCCTTGCCTCCTCTCTCTGCTTCTTCCTGTCTCAAAAACCTGTGGGGTTGGCTGCTTATATACACAACTCCTTGTCAATTTCAAGGCATGGCCCCTCCCGGGGTGGGGGGCACAAACTGACCATCCCCTCTCAGTAGGCCTCAGACACTTCATTTGCATAGTCTATTGACCAATCCCCGCAAACCGCATACTAGTCACAGGGCAGGCTGCAGCCCAGGATCAGAGAGAAAAGTATCAAACCAAGTTGTTTACAATTTACCCAGGAAATATCAATCAACCTGGCAAAAGTAACAAACCCTCAGGGGTAAAAACTAGGGCAAAGGTAACTCCTCAGGGGTTAGGGGAAAAATCTCTCAAGCAGTTTTTCCAAAGAACCAAGGTAAAAGGCCACATAAAGGAACCCGTTTCACCAGAGGGAGAGATCTGTCTTTGGAGCAAAGGGAAATAATTTTATGCACATACCTCGGCTGTTCCGTAAGTCTTCTCTCACTTTGTTGATTTTCAGTCTTTTCAAACATGGCTGTTGAAGATGTAGGCCCCCCCATCCTCAGCCGGCAGCCCTTCACTGCTCTTTGAAACCTCTCATGCATGCCCAAAAGTCCAGCTAGATCCCTGCTTCCCCAGGGAGCTTTTCCTGAGCGTCTCTATTCTCTAAGCCCTCCCATGCTGAGGGCCAATCTGGCAATTTGTTCCAAATCTGTTTCTCTTTTGGGAATAGTAAGGGTGGGGCGAGAAGGACAGATGAAGTTGGAAAGCTGGCCTTACGGAAATCCGCCAAGGGGCTGAATCTCACCAAGGAATCAAGGTGGAAAAGGGACACCCCAAGTGAACTAGTGTGGGAACATGGAAGTGCAATATACAGACAGAAAGGCCCGAGGTCTGGGAGGACCTGGGAGGTGGGAAAGATAAGTCAGCCCTTCCCACTATGGAGGGTCCATGCAGGTGACGGAGGTCATCAGAGTAAGAATAAAACAAACAACAGCCATTTCCTGTGTGCAAAGCCTTGTGCTCATACCACCTAGTAAGCAGGGCCGTACTATTACCTTCACCATGTCACATATGAGGAAGACATGGATGATCAAGAATTACATAATTTGCCCAAAGTTCACAACAAGTAAGTATCAAAGCCTGGAATGAAACCAAGGCAGTCTGACACTATAACATACACGCTTAAATAAATACAACCTTAGGACCAGAATCAATTGTATTAATTTTAGAAACAATTTAGAACCTGGATGATTGAATAAATAATTTCTTTTGTAAGGATCAGCACAAAGTTGGTTCGTATGAGGCAGAGGTTAAAGATGTCCCATATGTCCAACTCTTCCAAGCTGTTACACTACATCATCTCTAACATCAACTAGACCCCCTCCCGAGTACTCTCCCTCCCAACTCTGGGTTCAGTAATTCGCAGCAACGTCTCACAGAACTCACGAACTGTCAAGGAAATGGCTCATGCAGCTGTGGGGGCTGGCAAGTCCCAAATCCGTGGATCAGGCATCAGGCTAGAGGCTTCTCCTGACTCACATGGTTGTGGGGATGATGAACCCAAATCAGGAGGCAGGTCAGACAACAGGCTGCTGGCTCACAAATCTGCAGAAGCTGGCAAATCAGGTCAAATGACAGGCTGCTGACTTAAGATCCAAGAACTGTAGGTCATATGTTGACGAGCCAGATGCAGGATCCAGAGGAAGAGAGAGAACTTTGCCAGAGCATTCATGCATATACTGGATACAGACCATATCCTCAAGGAAATTCCCCTTACTTGAGCTAGGCGGTACGAGGGTGTGACTGGAATAAGGGTAGTAACAGTAGTGACTACGGTAAGGGTGGTAACTTGAGTCACATCCTCCAGTAAGGTGGTGAGACTCAAGATATATCCACTCCAATCCTGTCTTATTAACATAATAGACAACTCACTCCCAAATGGGACCATAACCACAGGCACAGAGGCTAGGATTTACAACACATCGCAAAATGGAGGATAATTACATCAGACCACAAAATGGAAGATGACTACATCATTACATAACTGCCAAACCACTAAAAGTCATGGCCGGGCCAAGTCAACACATAACCTTAACCATCATAGGTTCCATACACCTTATTTGCATTAGCAGCAAGCTGTCGAATCCCCTTCGCAGGCCACAACCACCTTATCTGCACACTCCCACCCAATCATTATGTGGGAATCACAAAGACTACAGCTAGAAGGACCATATTAAGCAACTAACTGTACTGGAATGATACCTGCCCAGTTTCTCAAACTCAGTCTGTCCAGAAAGGAACTCTTGCTTCCCTCTCCCTGCAACATGCCTGCCCTCCCCCAGTATTCTGTCATCACAACAAATGGCACCCCTATCCTTTAGTTTCTCAAAACAAAAACCCTG